CAAATTAATTCCATTAAAGCAAAATGGTCTCCATGGAATACAGCCATTAGATTACATAAGCTTTAATTACCAGCCAGTGTTGACTTATGACTCTTACTTGGAAATTATATGTCACCCTTTTTATTTAATTTAGGTTTTCATTTCGTTTGTATCATTCTACTTGTTTATAGAAAATGTCTATTTTTTTCATATAGCAATCTATAACATAGTTTATTATCCTATTCTTAAAAATGCTTAGACATATGCTTAACTTCAAGGTTATAAGCATCTTTCTTAAAGTAAAGAGGGTATGTCATGTTAGAAAGCATTTGTCCAGTTGATAGGTTTTGTTCACACTATAAATCCCCAACACCATTACTGTGCCACCATTGCTGTAGGATAGATGGAGCATACAGTTAAAGAAGTAACCAGAATGACTTTTCAAAAAAAAAAGGGACTAAAACTGGGGGGAGGAAGAAAAAAAAAAAAAAAAAAAGAAAAAGAAAAAAAAAAGGGGGGGGCAAAAAAAATAAGCTGCCAGTATTAGCTGGTACAAAAGAGCAAGGTTTCACAGATTTTTAAGGTGGAACTAACTGCCATTAACGTAGTATAATGGTATAATTTTGGCCTTTCTTTGTTCCCAAATGAAAGAGGATGTTTAGCATGTTTTTAGAAAAGATAAGTGTAAACTTAAAGTAACTTTATTTCTTAACTCAAGTTAAGACTTACCTAAGTAGAGACAGAAATTATCTTTGCATATGAAACTGTAACTCATGGGCTATTTCTGTGGCACTGTAAGCTTTACAATTTTCAGAAATGGAGCAAAATATTGAAAATTATCCATGTAACTTGGACCACTAGCTGCAAAAGTTTCAAGGCGAGTTACTAGCCACAGGACACTGGTTCAGTTTTGAAAAAGAAATGCAGATGCTTTTTGCATACTACTGTAGGCACTGTTTACAAATCACCTGCATTGTGTTTTGCCCATTTGACCCAGTATCTTTAATTTTTAGTGTTTAGTCTTTTGCTTAGGAAAAACTACAGTTAAAACTGCACTTACAACACAGTGACAAGAGCTTGGCTGTGTTAAACTGGCTCAGAGAGATCATATTTCACCCCTGCAGCAGATTTATACAAACTGTCATAATTAAGAACTAGATGCCCAAGAGTGGAAAGCAGAGAAATTGCAGACTAGGGTTAAGTTCTCATTCTACAGCCTCCCTCTGTGCAGCACTGCCAATGCATATTTATCAGAGTCTGCAAACCCTACACTATCCCAACTCTGCTGAATCTCCTCCTGAGAACAGACTGACAGTTATATCAAACTGGGTGTTAAAAGCTGCTGGGATTTTGTGGCTTGAACATACATTTTCTGAAGACAAAACTAGAATCAAACTCCCTTTCCATTGGGAATGAAACACATTTCTGAACTATGGTGTTCCTACAAGGAATCAATCACACCACCTCTTTCCTCTCCTCTTTCCACTCTCTGGAACCCAAAGTCAGATATAGTTCCTCAAACAGTTTGAGCAAGTAGCTTGCCTAAGTGTCACGATATATATGGTATGACTAGAATCAGAAACTTGCTTTTTTAGACCTGGGGAGAGCTGTTGAATATGCAGGATTTGCTGTACGTTCATGCAAAAGAGAAGAGACAGGACACTCCATCTGTAGAAGCTCCTGTAGTTTTCATTCTTAATGACCCAGCACCCCTGCTGTTTTGAGTCTCTCTATCTAGCACTCTAGTTCAAAGTTGGGGGTATAACAAATATGTTAATGCATGCAGGGAGGACAATTAGACTAACATAGCCTTCTCCTCAGAATTTTTCTATTAGAGAAGTAAGGCTTCCCTACAGAAGTGAAGACTTTAGGTTCCTCTTTTTGTATCAAAATGCACAGCTAAAAGATGCTTTAATTACTAAACTAGACAGAAATGCTAATAAAAGCACATTACACCTCCATGAATTCCAGACATTCTCTGAAATCAGTGCTTTTACAACAAACACCAAGTGATGTGCAGCAGGAACAGATGAGAATATCAAGTGTGGTTGCTTTGAGGGGCCAGTTTTTTAAGCAGCAGATTGTATTCAGGATGCTGCAGGGCAGCATTGAGGTGCAATGGTACAGCTGCCCCAGGAGAACCCAGCTGTTTTTTCTACACAAGCATCTTTCAATTATACAATACACTCTCTTACACTCTTATCATAGGCAAATTTTGCATCTGCTGTATTAGGTTTGGATGAACACTCATCATCAGAAACTCCAAAACAGGAGGAAAAAATATCTTTGTTTGAAGGCATGTTCATTCTATTCTTGCAAAACTATATTTGAGAGAAAACTTTAGAAACTAGGATAGAACAAGCAAACTTCTCCAGTGGAAACATACACTTCTTTTACCTGTCTCTTTTGCTTGGCTTATTGGGCAAGTCCAGCTAGTATGCATTCCCTGGTGCACATTTAGGGGTGAGAAGAAGAGACATTTACATGCCTGATTTCACTGATGACCCTCAAGTCAGATGATGAATTTGCTACTGATGTCATGAAGAATTCACCATCTTAACTAACCACCTCCAACTCTCCTAACTCATTCCACCTGCTGCAGTATCAAGAGCAGTCTCCACCCTCCTTTTCCTACAATTAAGTAAATCCTAGAAACTATAAGAAGCCTTCTTTCCAATCATCAAAATTTGTGAGATGCATACTAGTCTCCAAGATAACTTTGCTTGCACATGGCAAACATTGCAAGGAATCCTGGTTCTAAATCAATTTTCAGCTGAGCTTATTGTTTGTTTTTTTTTTACTCTCCAGTCTCATTCACCATTGCCACTCCAAAGCTAACAATCCCAGAAAGGAGCATTTCTGACACGTAGCCACAGCATCAACAAACACTTAAGAAGCCTGTGAATTCCAGAAGAAAATAATTGTCTGTAAGAAGCTCTGTCTCTGAGAACATCTTCCCTTTCTAGCGAACAATTCAAAGCCTAGTGAGGAAAGCTAGTTCTAGGCAAGAATGGACTTAGATTTGTCTCTAAGTATGCTTTGAGCAAACAAGTGAGATAGGTTACCTTGAATGTAACTAACTCTACTAAAGCATCATTAGCTATACTGGACTTCATTTTTATTACCTCTGCTGAGCTAGACTAATCTCTTGAGATAAGCATTACTGCCAGCCAAACAGCAAATACAACAGCACAATCCACCAGACTTAGAAATGCCAGTGTTACTTCCCTTTATTTTGGTTTCATATTTTTAGTTAAATACATTTCCAAATTACAAGATTCTATCATTATATGGCAGAGTTGTTTCAATGTTTACTAAATGTTCCCTTGGGTGGCTTATGTAAAACAAGGACAATTCCTTTAAGCAACACAGAAAGAGACAGTTTAAACCTTTGAGCTGCAAGATTCCCATTATTCACAGCACATTTAGAAACCTGTATTAGAATCTTCTCAAAATGGATGCAAGTACTAGGAGAGAAAAATGCTGAGAAGCTAACCACTAGGGTAACTCATGTCACCATAAAAATGCCTATTTGTACGAAATCCCTTAGAAACAACAATCAAAATAGACAAAATACCCCACATCTTTGCAATCCAAAGCCAATTTTTGCTGAGTAACTCAGAAGCCTAATTGGAAACAGATAAGAGTTTTAAAATTTAACAGGATTTTAACATTTAGGAAAAAAAAGCAAAGAGTATGATACAGATTTTTACTGTTGTTGTGCTTTTGTTTTGTTTATTTTAGCATTGTTTGTCCTGGTACTAGCCCTCATCTAACATGAGCATGTTACTTCTGGAGAGACTTGCAAAGGCTATGTTTTGATAGTGAAAGTTGCACTCGTATTTTGGACAATTTTCCTTCTCCACCTGTATTCTAGCCAACCTCTTAATATTTACTGTGTCTTTTTTCCCACTGTACAAGGTGAGCATTTGCATTCTTTTACAAAGCTTACAAAGAATGGATAAAAGTTAGAATGGTGTACTAAAACCAGCACAAAGGAGTGATTACTAAGACTGTTCCAGCAGCGGACTGGAGGCAGTCAGAGGGAGCAAGGCAAGGGACTGGAATGTCCCTCTTCATCTAGCTATAAGAAGATAATAGCACATGATGTGAACAAAAGTCATCCTCTCTGGTATAAAATATTATTCAATATAAAGCAGAGCTGTACTCCTTTGTAAACTCTTCAAACCCTATGCATGTTTTATTAGTCTGTTTGTTTATTTTATTAGTCTGATTAGTCTCTCGCTCCCCTATTTTGATCCACTTTCTGAAGCACTCTTGGAAAACACCTCTGAGAGACTAAACTGGACGAGGGATAAATATATATTTCCACACACAGTTTAATACCATTTCTCTCTTTCTGGAGCTGTTGTTTACTAATTGAATTGGTTATTTTGTCTTCACTGTACATTTACGCCTCTCGATTTTGGGATTTGTGCTCCATGTGCTAAAACCAGGTTGCAAAGCCCTCTGAGGGGCTGCAAGTAGCTCTTTCAAAGCCACAATAAATAACCTTGACTTTAATGAAATATTATTTACTCTAGTAACAGGTTTACTTTGAAAAATAAATGTCTAAATGGGAGGCTGGAATAGTCAAGTAACCAGTGTGTATTTACGTATATGGCTTTCAAATTATCATCTACACCTCTGCCATAAACTGATATCAGAAACAGGGTAAATTAATACAAAGCTGTTATAACTATTATTATTTTACAACATTCAGGATTGTGCAGATGCTTTACACTACAGATACTGTAGTGTATCTGTATTGTACAGATAGATACTGTCCCTATTCCCACAATGCAATAGAGGTAGCAGATGTATCTGCGATATCTCTACTTCACTGCAGAAATCTTAAGGTGAATCTATTTGTGGTGGTCACAAATTTCATGCTTCCTTCCTTCCAAAGAAAAAGCAACCAGGGAAGTGAATCTGACTTTATTTTTAAGTAAGACAGAAAATGTCAAAAAAGCTTATTAAGCCATAATCAGATATAAAATACAAAAGAAATCTATCTTTACCTGTGAAATAAGACAGACTTGACAAGTGTGACAACATCCCGACTGGCATTGTACCCTGCACAAACAATGGCAACGTGGATGGTCTGTGGGAGAAAAGGAACAAAAAGAACAAAAATTAAAGCCTGCTTCTATGTTCTGTCGTTCACTAAGGACAGCACATACACAACAGTGCTATTATTTAGTGTCATGATTGTTAAAGATTTGAGTGGGTGTTTTGCAGCTGTTTGCAACCCACTAGAGGCAGTTTGTTAAAAACATCTTAATTGAGTTATAACACCATCATCATTCCAAAGCCATTAGTATCCCTAAATTATATCACATATCTGAACAGAATTGCATTCATTAGACAAGAGTATATGTGTGCATGTATGTACACACATACACCCATTTAGCATCACACATAATCCTGAGTATGCAAATATGCAGACACTTTAACCTTCTGAACCGCAGTTAATTATGTATGATAATTATAAACAGATATGCTCTTAGAAATTTGCATCATATCTGTCTTGAGGACAGCTACAAAGGAGAGAGGATGAGCAAGATCTGATGGATGAGCATGAGCGGGACAATTGGTTTGCCAGGAGCTGGGTGCATCCTAGTGATAGGATAGGACACGAACTGTGAAGACAGGTGGTCACTTCTCCTGCCTGTGACTCCTAGTATGGACTGTACTGGGCAGTGTCAATATTTAGTTAAATACATACCCCACACACACATTCTCCCCACCCCAGCACCTTGGCAAATTCCCTCTTATTCTGTGCCTTCTTATCTCCCTTTTAATATGCAGCAGAAGTTTATTTGTCTCTTCAAGAGGAAAGGGAAAACTGAAAAGGTACTACTAGTCATTATTACGATTAAGGTAGTAAGTAATAATTTGAAAAATGCTGTTAAGTTACTCTTCTCTGGCTTTAAAATTAGCCATAGCTCTTCCCTGGGGGCAAAAGAATATTATTTTTAGCAAGTTTAGACTGCAGGTTCTGTATTTTTCTGTTTCTTAGCGGTCACAGAAATGAAGAATTCACCATGCTGGCAGCACGAAGCTGCAATTGGGGACACAGCTGTGAAACTGCAGGGAAGCCTCATTTGGCTTCCATTTGAAGTTTGGATAGCTGGTTTCTCACACACACAGCTCTCATTTTCCACAGAATGCCCACTACGCAGAGAACAAATGAGGAATTCTGCCTCCTCACATAGCCATAGATTCCCAAAGTCTGACTTTTAACAGAAGCAGATTTATACAAAGAGGTGGCATGTGTTGGGCACATCTGAAGAGTCTGTAGCCCCATCTATTAACATTGTCTGGTGCAGGGCACACTTTGAATCATATAATTGCCAAGTGGCTGTGCCATTGTGCAACCCCCACGTGAGCATCGCAGCTGCCTCCAGCCCTAGAGAGCCTCACAAGGTGAGGTACAATGAAGAGCTGAGGCTGTAAGAGGACTCGAATTAGTAAGGCAATTGTTTGTCCAGAGAGGTGTGGGAAAGAAAAGATAATGCAGTACTTTTTGCAACAGCTCTGTGACACATTGAGCATTTTAAAATTCTGTTAAAGTCAATGTGAGCTGAGCATGCTCAGCACTTTGCAAAAAATTGATTATGTCTCTCTCTTGTGATAACAATATAGAAGAACAGAGGCTACTTATTAACCACTTTATTGCAGTAGTGGTTTATACCTTACTTATGGGCATGAGAACCTCATGGTGCACAGATTCCTGACACCACATGCACTGCCTCCTCTCTGGTTGCCACCTGGTCTTTCTCAGGCTTTTGGAAGACCTATGATCCTTCCCTTCAATGCCAATTAAAATCACACTGACTGAGAATAGTTTCATGCCTGCTTTAAATATTTCACCTGAAGACACTGGACAAGACAAACATTTCAAGGGTTTTGACAGAATAGCACTGTTATATCACTGTCAACATCATTTTATACTACCTTTACTTGCCAGAAAAGCTTTCCCTGCAGCCTCTCTCTCCAGCTTACAATTCCCCTCAAAATCAGAGTTTGCTCTGCCAAGAACTTGCCTGCATCTGTTCTTCTCTTCCTAAACTGTTTGTTTCAAAATTAAAAGCGTTCTTTCCTTGCTGCCTTCCAACAGGTGCTGTTGTCTTGCATGCTGTTTCAGACAGGGCACAGTGAGAAGACAGCATTTGCTGCTCTTCTGAGCATCTTCTCCAGTACGGAGACACAGGCATCCCTGTATCTTCTAGTCAGCCTCTCTGCAGTGTTTGATACTATGTATCACTCACATTTCTGCCTGCAATCAGTTATAGGAAAGAACAATAATCCTCAAAGAGAATAGAGACCTAGTCCTTTTTTTTCCAAAGCTTTTGCCTTCAGCATGCTGCAAGACTCAGTCTGTTCCTGAGTTTGACTTTCTATTGTTAAACAAAATGTGTGGGAAAATTGATAAGTCTACATGAGGTCAACAACCTCAGCTGTCTGCAGATGTTTGCATCCTAATAACAAAAGTTATTTCCAGTGTTCTCCATGCTTGTTCCAAATATATGTTTAGATACAGAGCAGCTGACTGTAGCCAAATACTGGCAAGACAGGACAGAAGTGTCTAGAGGAAGCACTTCAAAGAACTGGCATCCTCCAGAGTATAGTACTGTAAGTGTCAGCTCTCAGATTATTAAATTGGTTAGCAGTATCTCAGCTCTCTCAAACTTCTTATTTTCCATCTGCAGATGGCTAGATGACTGTATCCCTATCCAGCCAGGTCAATGTGATTCACACAACCTCTCAACTCAATCATACCTAGGAGTGAAGCAACATATGCCCAGACTGTTCCAATTTGCACAATATGTGGCACCTTGTCTGCTTGGTTCAATGTGGCCCTCCAAACATCTCCCTCCAAGATGTTGCAAGAAGTCTGGACAGAGGCCACTCACTGAAGCTGTTTTAGACAATGGAACTCACTGCAGCAACAGATCAAATGACATTTAAGTTAAGCTTCTTTAGGAAAGAGAGTTCAAATAATAACAAGGTGCATGCTAACACTGTTCCGAAACTATTACTTTAGCCACTACATATCAGGAATGACTGTTTCTCAAAGCAATCTTTTCTGTAAGTTCATTTTGGGTGATATTAATAGGAAATGTATCCAAAAACAAATGAAGAAACTAGATCCCATGCTGACGAGGAGCATAAGGTACTATATAAGGCCTAGATAAACAGATGTTATTTTTTTTCTCCTCAGGCTACTTTTTGGAATGATGAAATAATGAGCTTAACAAAGTCTAATTAGTTCTTATAGCTAAAAATAATTTTTGGTAAAGCACTTCAATATTTTTCCAGTAGTACTAGCCAGGTGTTCCACTGTGGTTACTTTACTTAATCCTTCATGAATAATTGCTGAATGTGGTCAAGAGATATTAAATGCATGTTACAAAAATGTAAATATAAACATAATATAAATATAATTGAAATATAAACATAAATATAAATATAAATGTAAACACATGTTTCCCAGAGGCAGGTAACATCTGCTTTTCCCATCTTTTACAGCGCTTAAGTCAGTGGGGGCCTGTTCTTTGTGGATCTTAACCCCATTGCACAACACTGTTGAAAACAGTAATGATACAAATATGCCTGTAAAAAAGCTTCAGATCTTAAGTATTCTGCTAACCTACTAAAGGCTATACTGCTAATTAACCTTTTTCTAGTATAGAATCACTTTTAAAAATATGTTAAAATGCACACTTAATTCACACTAGATGCCCAGTTTTGGGAGCCACAAACTGGAAAGATACTAAGTTAACATTATAAGAAAGAATAACGTAATTCTGTTAGCTTCCATCAGCTTTATGCTCTTCTTCTGAAGCCTGTTATTTGAGCCTATGTCTATGTAAGGACTACTCTTACTTATATTTCCAAGGCTGGTATTAAAATTGTCTCCTACTGAGAAAGCAAGACAGGGATGTGCTCCCTCTGGGAAGAAGGCCCTTGGGTTGGAACTGTGACATCTTCTTGAAATATTAATGCTTCTCCATTTTATAATATGAGAAGACTTCTCCTGCAATGCAACAGAGTAGGAGGTGGAAAGCAACGAACACGCTATTGTTTGATATAGATCACAATTATTATCACACAGATTATGCTTTATCAGATATTTAATGCTCATTAATTGCAACTACATTTTCAAATGTTTTAATCATCACTAAAGATGATCCCAAATTTGATTCTGAAATGTCAGCTTTGGTAAATCTCAAAAAACTGCCTCAATAAAATAAACAACCTATTCCTAGCTCCCATTGTCTCCCTCAGAACCCCAGTCTTCTCAGGACACTAGTCTCTTTCTACCCAAAGTGCTGACTCTTGCTGTGATATATTTCAGGGTCAGAGGCTAAAAATAGTTTACACCACTGAAACACTGCAAGCAGAGGGTGAATGGAGTCAAGATGCCAGTCATAGAAACATGGAACCAGTATCTACAGTAATAGGATAAATGAAGAGACCTCTGGCAAATCTGATAATAAGGAAGTTTAATTTTAACTTCCATTGCTGTTACTGAATTACTTAGTGAAGTCCTTAAGTCAAAGAAGAAAAAGCTATTTCTTTATCAAAATAGTGTGCAGTGAGATAGGGGGTTGGCAAATAAAGTGAGGTTTCATATTTTATATAACCATTGCCTCCAGCACAATGCTAAACCCCACTGAGCAAGTAAATTCATTGGCAAAACACATTATAAACTGAAAGACCCCTTAAACTATTTCTCCCTTAAGCTGCTATTTTTGTGTCCCAAATTGGTTGGTATATCGAAAAACCAAGAACTGAGATTCAGCTCATCACTTCTTGGCATGATAATAAGGGAGAAGTGAGGTTTGCTTATTGATAGCCTGAACTTTCCCTTATTAAAAGAAATACTAAAATGCTTACAGGGAGGAAAATCAGACCCTCATTACTGGGAGGAGAGAAATTGAAAAACAGAATCCTCCTTCTCCCTCTCCTTAAAATAATGTTTGTTCTTTTTTTTCCACAACAATAGACAAAGAAAAAAAGGAGTAATTGTTTTTTTAATTATATTTTATATTTGCTGATTAAACAGACTTTATTTCAAGAGACAATTAGAACTTATTTTTTTCTCCCACTTACTATCTTCCCAGTGGCAGAAAGCAAAATAAAGGGTGATACAGTGTTACTCTCTTTGGAGAAATAAATGGCAGAATTACTTTTAATATCTTCAACGGCTGGGATTGGCACAAGGCCTTTAAGCAAGACTTTCTCTTTTGGATCTATAAACATTTGGAACTGTCATCATTCAGGTATCTGACAACTAAACAGCTGGATGACAGCCACAAAACTACTGGCACAAAATGGAGAAAAACGAACCAAAACAATCCCCTAAAACCTAAACCAGGCTCCCTTTTCCCTGCATGTAACCACATCTCTTGTGCATGGCTCACACAAAGCAGGTGGTTCCACATAGCATCTGGATACACTTTTGAAAGTGACTCCAAAGCACAGGCTGGCTCCATAAGCTGTAATTTAATAAATGGTAAATCCTGGACTGTTCTAGTACAGGTGACAAACAAAGGAATAAGCCTTTTCAAAGCACTGTGGCACTTTTATTTAATTTAGAGACAGACGGGGTCAGTTTGCCACAGGTCTTCATCAGCACAGCTGTATTGAAATCAGCTTGGAAAAAGGCTTTTTACACCAGGTTTGGGGACAAGAATGAAAAATACAAAAAACTCTGATCAAATAATAATTTGAAATATATTCAGATGATTAAAAGTTTCAAAGTTTGGTGGTTTTGTTAATAATAATTAAAAATAGCTAAAAATTCATGGCCAATAGTCCTTTAAGAGCCTGGTTTCTGAGCACAAAGTTTCAGGAGGAATAAGACACAACGTCCTTGAAGGATCAAATGTACAAAGCTTTGCTTCTGGCACGTTCCTTTTGCTTATTTACCTCGCATTTTTCCACTGCTGGTTGCTGCCCACACTCGGAGCTGTTCCCCGCCACAATGCCAGCCCGCAGGCTCTCACTGTCACCCGTCCCCTCTTCCATGGAGTAGGTTTTGGAGTGATTGCCCCGGTGGTGCGAGGGGCCGCGGCTCTGGGCCAGGCTGAGCTGCTTGCGGAGCGCACGGTTCTCCTCCTCCACCTCCCGCATGCGGACTTCCAAGCTCTCCCGCTCCCGCTGGCTTGATGCCGTATATCGAGGACTGTGGGGCTGGGATTCAAGCGGAGACAGTGACACTGGTTTTCCATCTGCAGAAGGAAACAATATGCTCCTGTCAAGATATACTTCAAGTTGCCTTTTCCTTTAATGTCAGCAGCGTGAGGCAGGGATGTGTTTCAAATACAGCCACGTTTTATGCAGAACTGTCACTTCAAGGCATTGCGTAAGTGCACAGTAAACTTGGACAAATACTGAAGTTCCATAAGCTACAGGTCCTACAAGTTTTAAAACCACACTCAAAGGTAGGCATATATTTATTTTGTTTTGTTCAGGGTTGTCTGCCAGTCTCTAGTCTGGGAAGACAGTCAAGAACAGAAGGATTTAATTCAAAGACCATTAATATATAGTTAAATGTATTTTAGAAACGTATGCAAGACAAAATCATTCTCCTATTCCCCATCTCCTCCTCAGTCAAGCTACAGCATTTTGGTTACCATTTTGTGCCAAACAGTAGTCCCAGCTGATTCACATGTGAGGAGCAGATGGTTTTTATTCAGCAACACAGCATTATATGCTTGCAGAGAAATAAGAGGTTCAGAAGGACAGAAAAATTCAATACACATGTGGGTCAAATTCTGGAAAGCATTTTGGCTGAAAAAGACAAAGGAATTTTGATAAAAACAAAATTGTTCAATTAAAAATCCTTAATTGAGAAGTTATATTAAAAAAAATGAAATATCTAATTTTCACATTTTCAAGAGAGATCTTCTTTGTTCAAAACAGCATTAAAAATGAGCTAGATATAAAATATAATAAAGATAAATTAACCTGAAACCAAGGTCCATAATCAAAGACAATTGCAATACATTCTGCTATCACTGTAATGTACTTCCCAGTACATTATTGCTACCAAATTTTAAGGGAGCAAATAAGGATGCAGCTGATGTCTTTTCAAAGGAGACACATTTTCATATAATTTTAAACAAAGCTACATATATATACGCAAAGTACAGATTCTTGAAAGGTGGTAAAAAAACCTCATATGAAGCGACTTTTAAAAAATGTTCAATTGGAATAAATTTGTAACTAAGCAAGAGAGTTACCCAGTGTAATAATCACAAGACACTCCTTTGCAGTGAAGATATATCAGTATCTTATAAAAATAAGGTATTTCCCTGAAATATCTTTCTACCTGCACGAATTTAAAAAAAAAATGTTTGCTACTTCGTAATTTCTCCAATACAGTCCCCTTGGCTTTATCAAGCACCAGCCTGAGAGGTTTAGAAAATGAAAATCATGCAGTTATTGTTTAGCAGTTCTGCTTAATGAGTACATTTCTCACCCTCTGATTCAAAACTATCTCCCTGCTATGAAGACCTGCTCATTGCTTATTCTCTTCTATTTTCTAACATTCGCATGAATGGTGAGCAGTTCTCTAAACTGAGTTCATGGAAAAAAAAGCTACAGAAATGAAAACCTTATTTCTAATTTGCGTTGTTCAGTTTCACAAGTGAACACACTTCATGTTACCTATATGAATAGCTATCCTGGTTTTAATACAACTTTTTAGGTAGAATATCTTGAATTCGTTTGCTGGTGGCAAGTTAATATTTGTTTTACTCCTATTAACAGACTGGACACTTGATGATATTTTTACCTCAGTAAATACACAGACATAGCAATATGGCTCTTGGGAACCACTGCCTGGCAGGTAAACACCAACACATGCAACCTTTGACCTGCTTCAGATCAGTTTTCAAGGCAAGCCAGGGACTGTGTGTTTCACCCCGTATTTGAAGAAAGAGTAACTGGATTAATGAGGGACCACTAATATTTGATTGACTGTGTGTGCTGCTTGGTACAAGAGTAAAACTGATTGCATTGCACTTGAGTTTTATACTTTTAAGTAACTGGCAGAGTGCTCTGAGCTGATGTCTAGGCACTTTTTATCTCATCTAAACCAAAATAAAATAACATAACACATAACGAGGCCTGTGTGACTTTGGGACCAAAGATCTCCCAGGGAGCACTGCAAGGAACGTTGCTGTGCTCTGAAGCAAGTAGTACACTTTTGAATGGTGCAATAAATAATAATAAAGCTATTATTTTTTATTCTTCATTTGGGGTTACAGCTCTATTTTTGGGCCTTGGCAGTCTCAGATTTAATTTTATTTCTTTTCTATCTGTGTCAGGCCTTTTACTTCAGCCTTTCTGTGCTAATACAACTGTACCAATGAAATAAAAATCACCTACAAAACTCCATTGTCCCCAAAACAAAACCTAAACACATACATGACTAATTATTTCATAGTTTACAGCAGTCAATGACTTTTCATCACAGTAGGTTCAACAAATCAGAAAACATTACAACACGCAAGTTACTAATTTATGGATTGTTGAATGTTTCTACATATGTGGAGTCACCTGTACTTAAGGCAAGACATTCAATTAAAACTTAGCAGAAACAAAGCATACGAATACCCTGGAAGAAATAAAAGCAATCCAGCAGTTTGCTGGAAAGGAGAGGGACTAAAGCAGTGGAATTTTCTTACATACAAAACCTAAAGGATGAGCATTAACACTGAGTTCCTAGTTTTGAAGTCAGCAGATTTGGAGATATGATAGTCCCAAAAAAGCCTCAGTGGTGCTGGAAGTTTGCTGGGGAAAGAGCCACAGAGAAAATAAAGTTTAGCCAGAGGCTAACTGCAGGATTGGATATGGGAGAAACAAGCAGAGTGCAGGAAAGAAAAAAATCATCCTAATTAAAAAAATAAGACAAGTGCAGAAACAGGGATCCTGAGTTTCTCAAATGATCCTGATCTGAACATAAACATTTAAAATTTCATTAGGAACAGAGGCAGCCAAATTTATGCAGAATACTGCACATTGGTTTTTTCCTTATTATTTTACATTTCTTTTACTATCTTCAGTGCAAACTACTTATTTTTGGCATCTTTGCAAGGTCTACAGGTTTCTATGTGTTTTAGCTATTACTCATCTCATGCCTAAAAGCGTGTAATGCCTTTACAATGAATTAACTGATGACATTGAACTCTAGGCTGCCTTTGAGATACGAGGAAGTTATACTACTCATAGATAATGTTTCAGTCTGTCTGACTACAGATACAAGAAAACACCACTCCTTCATTTCACATTTCTTTACAATGGAAAATTCATATTATCAGTGGAGTCTTTGAGGAGTAGCAGTATAACAGTTTTAACTGAAAGCCAACATTCTGCAGAAAGAACTGGGATAGGAGGCAACCACCCTCATAAATTTTCTGCTGTTAAGGCCATGAGCAAGATCTTTTGAAGTTCATTCCACAATTATTTTTATCCCTTTAAAGACCCTTAGAGAGAACTTCATTGAACCATAAGGGAAAAGAAAAATCAGAAGACTGCAGTTAGGACTATGAAGACATAAAAGCTCTGTGTAAGCAGCTAAACTATCCCTTTTCTTCTGGAGCTCTAGCTCAGCTTTAATCATCTAACACCTTAGTACTCTGCATGTTTCTACTCAGCTGGATGCTCTGGTAGGTATTGGTCATACTAGCAGTTATGAATGAAGTCCTTTTTTAACAGTTCAGTAATTTAAGATACATGCCTCCACAAATAGGTGCTAAGACATCCCCAGGTGTCTAGTTTCACATCCACCAAGGCATTTTTTTTCTCCTACACTTGTTTGTAAATCACTGCAGTGTGATCTCAGCTGGAAGAAGAAAGCCTTGCAGGCTAGGATGGTCCACACAGCTGTTCAGCATGTTGATCCAGCTCATCATTCAGTTTGTTGCCACTCATACCCTGCTTCGAAAAGAGGCTTATTTATTTCCTCACTGGCCTACAGTGCTCATCTCTGTCATACCTGAATGTGGCACAGGGATCAATGACTTATTTTTCAAAGTTCTTTGAGGGAAAGGTAATACTACCAGTCCCTTTTCACAGGCAGGGCAGAGAAGTTTGGAGTCATTAATGACAAAAGAAAATTCCAGGCTTGGATGCACAGTTGAGATGGTTCTGATGTAGTTTTTCAATAAATAAGCACCTTTTTGCACTTCATTTGTTCAGAGGAGCGACCTCATCGCTTGCATATGCAACAGTATACACCTAACACTTCTGTAATGCAAGAGTCTGCAAGCTGGCAACCCAGAAAATGGAAGAAAAATACAATTAGCAGCCACTTTCAATAACTTCTTTTATTAACATCATGTAATGAACTCAGTGGAAGAGACAGAAACAATTTTCTAGGGTAGATTCAACTTCATAAACTATAAAGCTGTCCCTTTTCTTTCTACGCTCCCCTGCTTTGTTCTTGACACACCTCCCAGTCTCTTTAATTAACTAAATGGAGTGGTCCAAGAACCACTCAACCACATTGCTGCATTTACTCTGCACATAAAATGAGGAAGGGGCTGTGTCTTGGAAAAAGTGAGCAATTGCACTATCAGTGATAGCATTACACTGCATTGCTGCAGGAAGCTGGTTCCGTGTTGGCTGAGGGAAAGTAATACTGGTACTTCTAACAGGGGCAATAGGGACAGTAAAAAAAAAAAGCATGTACCAACATAAAATAGGAATAAAGAGGGAAAGAAAATGTAAGTATATCGTATCCCTTTCCTGAAATGCATGTGACTCTCTGTAATAGTTTGTTTTTTCAAAAGAACTATTAGCTTACTAGCTAATGTTCTGAACATTAGCTTATCAGCAAATTTAAAACAAAAGCCCCTAAGTCTCAAAATTATTCGTTCATTTCCTTTTCTAGAATATGTTTAATTTTATTTTTTTTTCCTTTCTTCTGTCATCTTCTCATTATTCTTTTCCCTGCTTTGCATTGCCTTGGCAAAATATATGCCTCTCTAGGAAAAGGACTAAAAATAACATTTCCTGCCTTTCCTTTGGGAGTGGAGATGTAAGAAAATAAAGTCTTATCAGAGGATGCATTGAGTGAAAATAAGATTTTATCAGGGACTTAGCCTGACAAAGATAACATGTTATCAAGAGGGGAACTTGGCAAAGATAACACGTTATCAATATCATGAGTAATGCTTGGGGAAAATAATGTTTTAATACCTATTAGATTCTAAATAAGCCA